CCGGGGGAGAGAGGCGGATGGCTGCGGCCTGATTCACGGTGCGGGCTGGGTGGCAATTTGAGGAGACGCCAGTGAGGTTGGAGCGTTTTGTTCTGGCGTTGCACAATCCCGGGTGGCTGGAGGGTGCCCCGGGCTTCCCGGTTGCCTGCTTTTTTGGGGGAAGGAGGGAGGGGTTGTACTCCTGTTTTCCCATTGTGAAGCCACGTTGTTGGAACTTCTCAGGTGCTCAGAGTTGTGGTGCAGGTGACTGCACTTAAGGCTTAATGGCAGGTAGTGAGCACTGCCTGGCACAGGTGTATTGCTAGATTAAGGCATAATGTTAGGAAGTATTTTATCCTCCATACCCTTCTTTTTCTTTTAAGGTTGTTTGGCAGCTGTGTCAAATTTTGTTCGTATTGCTGATGATTTTGGTGTTATTTTCTATGGGGCTAGGGTTTTATTTATTTTTAATTAGATGGCCCTTACACATGCCCTGCAAATCATGAATGATGATAACTGATAACACATTAGGGATTTGATTCTTTATCACTTTTGTTCTCAGCTGGGTGAGGGGGCAGGAAATGGAGTGGCTGAATTGGGGGACTTCAGTGTTTTTTGTCTTTATGACAGATATTCTGAATTCTCACATGAAAGAGCAGAAGTGTGGAGGAAAATCTAAAGATGGCACAAAGAACTGACATAAAAAGTAGAATATGTTCCATCATATTCTTTGTGTTAGCTTCCATCTAACCAATTATAGATTTTTCAAGAGTACAACACACTGTAGCTGTGGTTGTGCATGATTTTTATGTACATTACTTTTTGAGACAACAGCTCATTAATAAATAATGATTTTATTTGAGACTGATAATAACTGTGTACCTATACCAATATCTTAAATGTGTGGTTAAAGAAAATTCTCCATTTTGTTATCCTGCAGGTTTGTGTTCTTTTTTTTTTTGCCTTCATGTAAATTGCAGGAGCTGTATTGAAATACTAGAAAAAAAGAAGAGCGTGGGGTGGGTTGGTTTGTTTTTTGTTTTGGTTTTTAGAGTGCTGTAAAGGTGTAGTGTGTCTTACAGGTTTGTATAAGTAAAGTTTCCTTCTTGAAGAGATTTTCATCATCTTGAAGAATATAGCAGTAATTAATGTAAATAACTTTTATGCAAACTATTATTAAAAAGAAATGTGTTGCTTATAGGTACCTGCAAAGGAACAATGGCGACAGAATCTCCACGCCGACCGAGTAGGTGTACTGGAGGAGTGGTAGTTCGCCCACAAGCTGTCACGTAAGCATGTTTATGAAAAATAGCCCTTATTTGAAATATTTTGTATCTTTCAAAAAAGAACAACCTAGCACGAATCTTGTTTAAAGCTAGCTATGAGTGCTTGCGTTGACAGTACAGTTCTGCTGCGCTGAGAACTCTCCAATAAAAGAAAGTAAACAGATTCTTGTTCCTGTCCAAACAGTTTTGTTCCTGTCTCCTAGGATTATGCAGGTCAGACTGTCTCCCTGAATTGGATCCTTTTAAGCTTAATAGATCAAGAGCTCGGGCCAGCCTTCAAAGTTGCACAGTTTAAAAATGAATACTTTGTCTTGCAGTGTTTTCTTGTTTGTTTGCAGAATTCTGTTTGCTGAACACTGCACGAGTTGTGGATCAAGCACTGCAAAAATATGTGCCTCCTATCCTAGGAGGCACATATGCATAGCATGTTCCGCATGTTCCTTTCTTGCTGTTCTGTATAATACCTTGGTCACAGAAATGCAAATATAAGAACATATACGCTTGTCATTAAAATGCTTCAGTAAGTGGAGTTGTGGATTCCAATATTTTTTGATCAAGAGAACAAAAGCAGGAACAAAGCTACCTATCTCCAGGCAGACAAAGCAAATAAGAGACCATCCTTCTTTGCTCGGGCATCCTAATTTTCGTTGTGTTCATATGAAACTACTTTCGTTGGCAAAAAAGCTTGGGAAGACAGTTTAGAAGATTTATCTCTTATCTTTGTTAAGGAAAAATGCCACAATTATTTTTTTTCCTTTTTTCTTTCTTTTTCTGGGGACATTTATACTACTGAATCGTTGCTGTAAAATTGCACTGTATTGAAATGTTGACTTTTGCTATTCATTTCAGCGGCTGTTAGTTTGCTTTAAGAGTTAATGATAGTACAGCAGCACTGGAGATAACGGGATATTTAAATATCAAGATTCACTCTTTTTTTTTTTTTTTTTAAATGGGAAGCACAAGAAATCTATTGTTGTAACATCAAGAATTGTGTTAGACTTCTGTCCATGTACAATGTCCACTACAACCATGTAATAGAAGAAGCGTTTGTTACGTTGCAGATTTCTTCAACAGATGCATGTCTGGTTGCAATGATACCTTCTTCAAAGTAAGCTTTTTCACCGAAGAAAAAGTAATTTTAAAAAAAAAAACAACACTGTAAGAGTAAGATTATCTGCCCTTTTGTTTTATTAAAATGTGGTGTTTTTTTTCTTGATGTGTATCTTTTTATCTCAAACCTCTAAAGTATCACCTTTTCTATCAGAATTTTGTTGAGCAGCATGTTAACACCTTGCAACTTTCTGCTGCTTATATTAAATGCCTAGTGTCTTACAAGCAGAAACTCAGTAACAGGCTACAAAGAGGAGTGATACATAAGCAATAAAGAAAGTGACTTTGAACCTTCTACTACTGATCGTCAGTCCCCTAAAGTTAGAAGGCTTCTGCCTTGTTTTGTTTGTGTGCGTGTGTTTTGTTTTCTTAAGTGCTTTAAAGAATCCCTCATGGAAGTTTTTCAACTTTAGGAAAGACTTGGAGTACGTACATTGAATAAAACATTTCCTAAACGTCTGCTTTGTTTACAATTCAAGATATACTGGAAAAAAGTACTCATTTTATAAACTGAAGAGTAAAGGCATTATTCTTTCTGATGGACATTCAGATGAGAGTTTCAGACATTGCATTTTAAACTATACCTATAAGATAGACAAGTATTATTGCCATGTAACAAAAGGGCTCTGAAGGTGTACAAAGACAGTTTTGGTGACCTACATAAATCAAAGAAGAATCAGCACTAGAAACCACAGCTTGCATTTATAAAGCCTCTACTTTAAGCAGCATGACAAACTTCATTTGATTCAGTAGTCCTTGGGCTGCTGACCAAAACCTGGTTTTGTTATCCATGGATTGAAATAAGCTTTCTAAAATTTCATGATTTATGGTCTTAGTTGAATCCTCTCTGAAAACAGAGATAAATGTATTTATATATAGATACTTTAAGTCAAATGCTGCAACACCCTGACCAGCGTATTTTCCCTATTGCTGTGTTTAGTGGAGCGTACTTCATTCTTAACTTCTAAACATGCCAATTAACAATATAAGAAACATATCACTGTTTCTGGGGGCACAAAGAAAAGGTATGTACCTTTGGATATCAAGAATCTAGGTTTCCTCATTCTGCTAGTACAATCTATCCTTGTTGTTGTTAGAAATCTTCGGTTAGTACGGGAAAAATGCCTATCAAAATAGAAATTAATTTGAGGACTGCCAAAACTGTTAGCTAAGTAAAGTTATGGTTTTCCTAATCATTTTAGACTTTATGAATGTAGTGTTTGTTGCCAGCATGTTTCAGCATTACTCATTACAGAAAGCACAAACTTTTTGCATACTTACAACACTGTCAGTCTAATGTAATCAGCCCACGTTATTATGCTGTTCAGTGGTTACACAAGAGACTCACTGTTCTTGTAATGATAAGCTAATAAAAGCATTAGTTTAAATCTACCAGAACAAATGTATCTTGCGCTAAGGACTACTCTAAGTCATTGCTGTTAATGAACTTCCAAGGAGGAATAGGCTTCCGAGGCTGTAACAACTTAACTGAAAATACCTCCTTGCCCTTCTTAGGGTCTTGCTTTTTCCTTCCCCTTCCTACCGGGGAACTACTGTAAAATGTTTCAACTTGTTCAACTTCATCATGGTGCATAGTACATATGAGGTCTTACAGTTTAGTTGCACCACAAGGAGAGCTAGTGCTTCAGCCCTTACTTTTTCCTTCTTCATGGCACAATATTGAAATCAAGGCGGGGGGGGGGGGAAGTACTGAGAAATAATTTCCAAAGCTCTACTCTACTTTGCTTAGCTGGAATGATATGGAGGACATGGTTTTTCACTCCTGAAGACTCAAGGGAGTTGAAGGCTCCCTTGTATACTTTTTCCTGAACGGTTATTTCATAAATAGGTATTTGCTTCTTACAGGCTTTCAGGCAATATACATACTATCAAAGTGTACTTGGCAGTATATTAAGTAACCACATTGTATACTACTTAGTATTTTTGGTTATGTTAAACACCAGACGTGTTTTTTAGTGTGATATGAGCAACTTAATATATGCATAACTGTTTATGAACTTTTGAGTAATTAACAGCTTTCCTTCTATTTTCAAGGGAACAGTCATATATGGAAAGCGTTGTTACGTTTCTTCAAGATGTTGTGCCACAGGTATGTGTCCATCTTTCTTAAAAAGTGTTTTTTCAACAGAAATACACAAAACAGTTGAAGCGTGTGTCAGGTGGACCAAAACATCATAAGAACAAGAGCCAGAAATTTTTTTTTGGCTATCCTGAGACCTGATTTTTAGAAAGCATAGGCTGCATGCCATCTGAAAAGTAGGCCTCTAAATTTCCTCTGATAAATATTTATTTAAATGTAAATCTTAGCATGCTACACATGCTATTTATATTACTATATATAGTACTGCTATATATGTTACTATATATAAATGTATGTATATATTATGTATATATAATTATTCATAGTTATGAATATAATTATGTATATAAAATATATGCACATATTTTCATATAGTAATACATATAGTAATTTTTCAACTTGTTATCATGAAGACGACTACAGCCTTTTCCTGTGATAGCTATGGCAATACGATAGTTGTGAAGGGAAGAGACTGGGCCTAATAATTGTTCTGCCTCTTACAAATACTTTTTCTCTGGCTCATGCTTGGAAACCTGTGTACGAACTCATTCACTGACTGGCTGATGTTAGAACAGCTTGATATCCACCTTCTGTCGCTTTTACTTTTATCACTGGCTGAGAAGGAGAGCTCCTCTTCCCTCCTAACCCTTCCCACCCCCCCAAATCTTTTTAATCTGTAACTTGCCCAAAAGAGCCCTGCTTGATGTGGGATTGTGAACTCTGCTCTCCTGTTGTCCACCATTCTGGAGTTTTGTAAAGCAGGAGTCTGTCATTCTTTTTCTTTTTTTAATTTCTGGGGTCATCTTCTCTGGAGAATGACTGTGATGCTTGTCTCTGCTGTTGGTCATAGTTTTCCCAGGCAGCAGCAGCATGAAACTGTTATAGTCACTTCTGTGATGCTCATGGGCCTCTCCATGGCAGATAGAAACTAATTTTGTTTTGTTATTGTTTGGGAAAGCTGTATTCAGTAGTGGAGAAGCATTGCAGTTAATTGCCTGTAGCTTCAGGAAACTTTCTTGATTCTTATTTGAAAGATTATCTTTATTAACTAAAATTTCCTTAACGATGATGATAAAAGATTTTCCTCTCTCTATTATTAATTTGTGAAATATATTTTTGGACTCATGGTCAAAATGAAAAATAGTCAAATTTTCCTGTAAAAGATTGGGGTTCCCCCCCCCCCCCCACTTTTTCCCTCCTTTAACTAAGGGATACAGTCTGTGTTTTATTTTACAAATCAGTTTGCCTTGGAAGCATGGAATGTGATTTGTTTTGAAAAGTAATACCCACACTTATTTTTTAAATTCGTATTTTTGGTTCATGTTATTGCTTTGCTGGCATGTGTAAAGTGATTATACAAGCTCTTTTCATATTTAATCCAAATACTGCACAGTAGTTTGCTATAATTCATTTGAAAGTGATGGTATGTCTACTGTAACTCACATTCTTACTACCACAGTTCCTCCTGAGAACTGTAAAATGTGCAGTTTGGAAACACTGTAAGTCTCCTTCACAGTTTCCTTTTGTATCTCATCTTTTAATGGGAATCTGTAGAACACGCAACTGAAGCATGGATCTATTCTGCTTGCATTACAGTTTACTATTTTTTAAAATGCCTCAAATATAACTAAAAGATGTCGGTAAAGTAAACTGTGTAGTAAAGGCCTCTTTCTTTCCTCAATTTTGCTTATAAAGCTTTTAAGTGAATAAAAAAAAAAGGTTAAAGTAAACATGCTTCACTTGAGAACCTCTAACATTGCTCTTAAAAGTAGTCTACAATTGCTAAAGTTAAAGGTTGTGGAAGCCACTGTATTTTAGCTTCACTAGACTGGTATGTGGCATTTCTAACCTCTTCCAGCATGCTTATTGTTACGTATCTTGTCATTTCTACTTTAGTAAGTGATGTTACACTTGTTGAGTTATATTTAGTATGACGTATCTTAGTCATGGAGCCGTTTGTTTTTGAAACAAAACCTCCCAGGAATACTGATGACAAGAAGATACATGCTGCTTATGCTTTTATTTTTTATTTTATTTTTTTAAATTCTTGCCTGCATTCCCTTGTATGTTCTATAGAGGGTTGAAAACCATAGGTGTTAAACTTTCTTCTTTCAACCTTTCTGCTATTTATCCAGGCCTACAGTGGTACCCCACCAGCAGAAGAAAAGGAAAAAATCATTTGGGTCAGATTTGAAAATGCAGATTTAAATGGTATGGCTTTTTTTTCTCACACTTATTTTTGTTATTTTTGAGTCTGTGTACGATAATTTCAGTTAGCTTTCCTGTGTGAACATTGTGGGCTCAAGCTATTTTAGTTAGGCTAAACTCTCAGTGAATAGTTGGGCTTTTCTTCAGTACCTAGCAAATAGAACAAATAGGCCTTGCACCTTCCTCTAAAGACAAACTAATTCTGGCTTAGGAAGGAGGAGAGGAAGAGTGAAAGGCAAATCCCCCCAAAAGTCCATTCTCTTTCCTTGAGGTAGTTGAAAACAAAGCATAGAACTAAATGCAGTTGATTTGCTATTGGTTTCAATTCCGGATTATCTAACTGTGAATCCCGTCTAGGTCCCAGATACGTTGTCAGTGACATGATAGAACTCATCGGAAGAAATTCATGGAAAGGAAGAGCTGTCAAGGAAAATCAGCAGAAGATACCATGATATCTTTCTAGGCAATAGCAGAGCAAAGCCGCAAAATATTCTTAAAACTTAACTTGTTTGTCACTCCCAGTGTATCTTAGTAAGTCATTGGCAAAGACTACTGACTCCGTGCAGGCAACTGCTCTTCAACGTCATTAAGAGAAAATGATGAAGGTTACAGGCTTTTGCTGAAAGTGTCAATTGAAGTAGATATTCAGTTAAGACCTGAGCTCTTTTACCTCAGTCTATCTCAGTTATCTTTGCTGAGTGAGGAAGTTAGGGACTGAATGAGAGAGGACTGAATGCTGCTATCAAGTAACTATTTGCTGGAATTAATCAAAAGTTTTATAGTTGTTTGTGGTGTACAGTATGTGCTTGTACTAGCTGTAGAACTAAGGGACTTGCTTTCCTGTTTTGAATCTCCTGGAGAACAGTGGACTTAAGTCTTTCAGAAAATCACTGTTTCTTGTCTACTAACTTATTTTCCTGTCTAGAGCTCTATGGTAACAGCTCATTCTGGTCTCAAATGAAATAGTAACAACCATAGCCAGAGCTATGATGGGGAACTTTCAAGCTTTCCTGGAGGTTAATAGGGAAGATTATATATTTTCCAGCTGTTGAAATGGCATAGAGGCTGGCAGTTCATAAATTCATGGTGGTTAGAAATAGAAAAGACCTATCAACCTGTACATGGCATTATATCCAGCTTTAGGCTACTTCAAGTCTGCTTCCTTGTGGTTTTGTTTTCCTCTTCTGTTTATTTTTAAAAATTCTTGACTGTTCTTCTTGAGGTTCTTCTCTACAGCGTAACAAAAAAACCTAATATATTGATTATTATGTCCTGTAGCAGTTTTCTTCTTGGGATTTTCCTTCTTCATAAAGTTGATGTAAAGATTAATTATATAGTATTGATAAAGAGCTTTGATCATACTGTGCATTTGTAATTGTAGTATTTGTTAACATTTATTTTGTTGATCCTTTTGGGAATTTTTCTCTATTTGGAAAGTTTGCCATGTTTTATTAATCACTGGAGATAAGACTACAAAAGTTTTTGGGGTATTTCATGATAGCCTGCAATGTAATGAATAACATTTTTCTCCATCACTTTCTGCTTTAATACTTTCTAACCTCTCTGTGAAATTCTAATGATTATGTGCGCTTAAAAGCGTATGTTCCACTGCTTTTCCAGCATAAAAATGTAAACCACTTCTCTTTGCCTTTAATTATGACAGAAACATGAATTGAGAAAATAGTATCTAGTCTAACTGGCCCTAACCGTAATAGTTCCTAATCTATTAATCTGTGGCTTTGATATTTAAACCCAATGTAGATACATCAAGGAATATGGAGTTTCATGAAATACACAGCACTGGGAATGAACCACCGTTGCTGCTCATGATCGGATACAGTGATGGAATGCAAGTCTGGAGCATACCTGTAAGTAACAGAGTTCACTTGAAGGCAAGACACTTTCCCAGATGCTGATTTTGACACCACATCATTATTTGGTTTTGTTTGCAATATTGTATTACTACTACATTTTTCCTATTAAAATAGAAATAACCAACATTCATCATCCGTGTCATATGGTATATCTGTAATATGCTTATCACAGGGTTAATACTGAGCATAGATCATACACTTGAATTCATGTACTTTCAGATTTAAGGGTTTTTTGCAAGTGATTTCTATTAGGTAAATTTTCAGAGTCTAACTGGGAGCAGTATGTAGCATTATAGAACAGTTAGTATCACAGGAAAAAAAATCTCCTTAAGCTACAGGAAGGAATAAGAGTAGAAAAATATGAAAAGAATCTGCTTTCCCGAGAAATGCAAGTATGACAGTACTGATAGTATTTTACAGTCACAGTGTTTGTCATGTACATGATTTGCAATTTTAATTTTATTAAAGTCTGTGTGTGCATATGGGTTTGATTTTATGCTGTCATATGCACCCTGCAGTTTGTGTTTCAGAATGGTTTATGAGCACATGGACTTAATTTGGGGAATTTTCCCCAAATTTCTTGAACTACAGAATAAAGTTTAATACAGTAGGTCATAAAATTCTTAACTAAAAAAAAATAGTGCTCATAACACCTTGTCCTTCGAAATAATATAGTAAGGATGGAGTTTTTTTCCGTTCATAAAATACATGGGCTTTTTAGAAATATGTGTACTTTTGTATTACTTTATTGGTGTGTAAAGATATGTCCAATGCAGCTAACTGTAGCTTAGAAAGTATAATGGAAAATTTTCTCATTCTGCACGCCATGTTGAGAGCTGTGTTAAGCGTTGTCTCATTGAGTTTCGGTAGGGTATAGGAGAACGGGCCTTCCCCCTCCTCACGTGCCTGTTGTTAGTTGAAGATGAGGAAAACTAAACTGCTGAGCTTTTGCATTTGAAATAAGAGTTTGTAGAAATGAAATAAGAGCTAATGTACTTTATTAATTTCGGTGTAATTTAGGAACTTTTATCTGCTTGTATGTCCTGAGAAACTATGGCTGGTTCCAGCTTCTTTGGCTTTATTTTTAATAGTACAAAACTTTTTTTTTTTTTTTTAACTTCCTTATGCTGGAATGAATTTGAATACAAAGAATAATTTTACAGTATCAAATTAGTTTTGTACACCATTTTGAAAAGTGATCAGTTTTGTATTCCTATACAAAACAGATTATTATTAATTGTTGAGAAATGCTTTGCTTTGTTCTTCAAAGTGTATTACAGAAAACAAACATTAGGTGTCACTAAGATATTGAGCTAAGAGAGGAAATATATCTGCAGCGATACCAGGAGTTATAGCGTGTGTTGATCAATTAGCTAAGATACTAGAAGCAGTCACACAGATTTAAGCTAAAGCATTTTTGTAAAACAACTTGCTTTATTCTGTTGAAATGTTTTTGTCCAATTGAATGTGTATTTTCTGAAAAGCGCACAGAGGTGCTTTGTGTTGACATGGGACTTGTCCTGGCCTCTCCATCATAAGAGGCTTGTGTCTTGAGCTAGCAGGCAGAGGTGTGTGTGTGTGTGTCTGTGCGCGCGCATGTGTGTGGATGTAACATGCCCTTGCTTGTGGTTAGGTGAGAGTTCTGTGCGTCCTTTCTAAGTGACTTTTTGTGTCTAAATGAGTGTCTGCGTAAGAGCTATCTGTATCAATGCCCTTGAGAAATTTACTGTGAGATCTGTAGGATCTTACATGTATAAGGAAAGCAAGAATGAAAGAAGACTTAGTTCTTTGGTACAGGAACGAATTACTTCAGTGTAAATTGTACTGCATTACCTGTCTGTATTTAAATTCTTACCCCATGGTGCCCTGTGGTGAACATGAAATAATGTGATGGAACTTACGCAACAAATGAGTCAAATACTTTACCTTGTGTTATGTGGAGTAAGTATGTTCACCGGCATTGCCATGCCAGATGGTAAAAGGTAACTTATCCCTGTTTCATAGCGAGCAGAGAGGTTTTTTTTGGTGTCTGAATTGCCACAGGTTAGGCCATGGAGTGAAGGTTATCTCTCTTTTCAGTAGGGCAATGCAGCCAGAGTGTATTTTTCCCCAGGATATAATAACTACTTCATAATTCCTAGTTTTTCTTAGTATTTTGGTATTTTAGTAAAAATGAAAAAAATGAAACTACAAGACAGTTTCTCTTTGTGTGATTCAGTTCTGTGAAGGTATTTTTGATGTGGAAAAATGTCCAGTGAAATGAAAGGAAGTGCCAACTGTGGAAATATTGCACAACCCATCCTGAGAGTGCCAGCTGTAGAGATATTGCATCCCTTTGTCAGCCTCTCATTCATATAGCCTGTGAAATCTAAGACCACATCCAAAAAGGCATAGCTTCACACTGCAATAATGCAATTTGTATGTGTTAATATAATTTCAATGTTAGAATGATTCCTTTGTTAGTAACATGATCTTAGATGGCTTCTCAGATTGATCGTTTTTAACACTGATTATCTTAAAATATCTTTTCAGAGCAAGATTTGTATATCTAACAAATTTTGAGGTAACATAACTTGTGATTTTTCCACCTTTTGGTTTCTCCATCTCATTCCTTTGCCTACTTAGTTGAGTAAAATTAAACCTGGCAAGTTTATTGACTGACGTACTATTTGGAGTTTATTTGGCAACGTTATTTTTGTGTCCTTTGGTAGTATACAAACCTATCCTTTCTTCTTGATCTTGTTGAGGGTTTAGGTTATAATTATGCAACATTATTCCAATTATTAGGAAAACAGATCTCTGTAGTTTAGAAACCTTTCAATTTGAAAAAGCAACAATATGACATTTATGTGAAAATCTACTCGGTAAGGCTATTATCTGTAGCATTGTGCTTTTTATTCGTTCAATTGAACCTCTATTCAGCACTTAATAAAATAATGTGTTGCAGGCAGTCCAGTTTGTGTCTGAGTGATTATGAAGTGTTTATGACAGCTTCTAAGCTGACACTCTCCGTAATGGTGTTACATTGACTTCTAAACACCTTTGCAGTCTGCCTCCAGGAGTGTGTGTCTCTTTGCAGTCTGAGTGGTTTCACATTAACATCTCCTTGGAGTAAGATCTTTGACTACAGAAGTGTTACTTGCAAATGGAAGATACCATTAGAGCTGCTTCAAAGGACTGAAATAATGTTTGGACTGCTGGGTGCTGAAGTAACGGCTGGGGTTTTGAAGTGCAGCATCTAAATCTGTATTGCATAAGAAGCGGAAGGTGTCCATCCAAATGACTTTTCTTTGATCTGTGTTTTGAAATGGGGGTGGGAAGGTTAAAAGTGTTCTTAAAATATACCTCACTAAGTGGGGAGAAATCTGGGAACATGCAGAAGTATGACTAGAAGTTCCTATTTGATAATGGTCCAGTGTAGTTTTGTGTTTTATTTGGAATTTGTTTTTCCCTTGCTTCCAGTCTCATATTTCAAATACAATTGGGACTGGTTTCTGCCTAATGTGGTTTCCAAGTATCTGTTCTAGATGTTCTTGTTCACAGAAATGCATGTTGGCTGGTTTTGCAGCTGATAACTTTTTTTTCCTTGTGTGCTGGAAGTTTCAGAATTAGAAAATTACATTAATAGTTCATGTTTCAATTAAAAAAGAGCAATCAAGCTTGAGTTTAGTAAAGTAGGAGCTAGGAGAGGCAACTTGTAATAGCAAGCACAGCTGTATATTCAATGAAAAAATCCTTTAAGGCTGTGGTATGATGGTGCTGCCACAGACGGATGGTGTGCGTCAACCTGTATGGTAGGTGACTTCTGGTGGAAGGACCTCTGGAACGTGAAGGGATAGTTGGACGAGGATGGCATCCCACCCTGCTGTTCTTTTTCTGTCAGAACTTGAAATTTTTTAAATACTGGTGTCAATAGCACTATGATTTTTAATTTGGTAGAACTGCATTTGCACAGCAGATGGTGTGTGTATGTGGATGTATAGATGGGTATGTATAGTAAATCAAACATGCAAGTTCCATTTGCCCTCGCTACTGTTCATCAAAAGCCCCGTGTGCTGGGGCTTCAGCATAGTCTTTAGTCCCTTTGTGATTCTCTGCCTTTTTAGAGCTCGGAAAAAGGACTTCTTATTTATCAGATAGGAAGTTGTAATCCTTTCCCTGTCCAGACCCCCTTCTGATATGGGATACCACTGTTGAGGCTGCTATTAGCTACTTGGGAAAATGTAAAAATTACCTGACTTTGTAACACTGAAAAATGGGTAAGGACTTTACAAAACATCTATACAAATTTTTTTCTGAAAAGAAATTTTTTTTGTACTGCAGAGACTGGAGGTATGCAAGAGGTTTTCTGCTTTCACACGTTAAGTGACTGTGCAATAATGTTGAAAGTGTTTTAATTTATGTTGTATCCTGTACCAGAAGAAAAATGCGCATGCAAAGTGTTTAGCAGACTGTAGTAAGAGGTATCAGAAGAGTCTGAAGGAACTTTGTGTAGCTCCCCGTGGATGGGGACAAAGCCCAAATGAAGAATCTTGAGAGGTGTGCCTGCTTCCAGTATTGTCTGCTTCATTTTAGTTTTGTGTAGTAATAATGAAAAAAATGCAGAACTATCCCCAAATTAGGATTTTATAGGTAGCTTGCAGGCTGGACGTTTTAAAAATCTTCAGAACATATTAACAAATAACTTGATAATGTTGAAGACGTTAAACAAAACCGTTACTAAGCTTTCTTTTTTTTTTTAAATTCAATTTGTGTTGTCATAATTTTCAGTAGTAGGTAGACTATCATACTTAAGTCAGTCACTAGAGTAGACTTCTGTAATGTTTTGAGAATTTAAATTCTTATAATCTCTAGATAATTAGGGAGGTTTATTTTGAATGAAAAAGAAGACTGGTTGAATTTCTAAACTAAAATCCTAAAAATTGTCCTTTGGCCTAAGTCCCTTCTCACTCTCCTAGTAGCGAGATGACTGGTAGTAACCTTTAACCCAACAG